TTTTCGTTGCAACGGCCAAAGGAGCAAATAAGTATGGAGAGTATTTTATTTTTTGAGAACTTGCAAATTCTTTCTACTAAACTTTCACGCGCAGACAGAAAAGCATCTACGACATCAGCTGAATTGAATTCTTGAAAGTAGTCATGCTATTCGTGTATTTGTTTTTCCAAATTCACATATCGTATTGTATCGTTTAACGTACAAAGCCGCATATCAAGAAAATGTAAAACCTCGTATGTGAGGTGGCCTTAATTTTATAGAAGAAAGTAAAACTTGTCTTATTTCTTATAACTAAGTATCGATATATTGGTATGAATGGATACGGTCTTGACATCAGGAAGTTCCGGTGAGCAAATATCCATTTTGGCACAAATGTCAGTTACGAGGTTTTGCAAAGCCACAATACGCGGTTTTGTACTTTAAACGACGATATATATATTTTTATTTACATTAAATGCAAAGCTAATGATTCGATTATGAATAGTAACGTAAGCTCAGTTGAAGTGCCGAAGGTCAACGCCACTGAAATAAAAAATGTTTATTATGAATAGCAACTATAGTTAAATGCTACAAAGTTTAAGATAATCGAGTTTTGAGATAACAGCAACCAAGACTCGAGTGCAAATAAGTTTTGGAAACAGTTGAAAAAAGAAATAAAAAATGCAGTTGCCAATATAGCAGCTCAGTTGCCATCTGTAATTCCATTTCAGCCACTGGCAACGCAACTGAAGTTCGGTTGCCATCCGTAATCGACCCATAAATAATTATCCTCGTTGCGTAAGTCGTAAATCGGTCTAAATGGTACGACTCGACTACATTGGCATTGCCTACTGTCGCGCGGAAATAAAAAAAAAAAACGACGAAAATAGTTGAAAACTATCCAGTGCTGCCAAGTATTTCCGTCTCAATGTACTAGTCGAGTCGAAACTTTAGACAATGCCGTGCCACTTTCGATACGATTCGACACTCGAAAAACGACTTGCACTCGTTACGACACTCGCATACGCACGATTACATCAACTAAACTTGAGCTTCCCTATAAAAAAATATGCTCCATTTAGATCAGCAGCACCCTTTTAGTTTAGGAAATAAAGCACGTGTCGCAAATAAGACACATTTTACAAATTTCAACTAAAAAAGAAAAGTACACTATCCTAGTTAGAACTATTTTATTTAAGGATTAAAAAACTAAAATTTAAACATTTTTTTGCTTATCTATTGCTCAGAAAATAACATATTTTATTTATTTTATACCGTTGTTTTTTTTGGTATGGCTAAAGTTTTCGCGGAAATTTCATTCATGATGCAGTTTTGTGTGAAACTCCTTACTAATGTATATTCAAAAAGGAAGTAAAATTTAATAAAATTGAAATATTTCTCTACACTATAGTCTGCTTCCAAGAGTTGTCATTTCTACCTTGTTGAATGTATTTTGGAGAAAGACCGTAATTTTATTAACACATAAAATCTCAACAGCAGCCTTAATTCACAAAGGCCCTAACCAATACTTTTTTCGAAATTGCGTTTTTCACAGATTTTCCTATTGCGTGTGTCGACTGGTAGTGGATAAACGACTATTATTCGATTATCGCTTTTCCATGGTATTGTGAACGTCATTGTCTCGTTCAATAAGTCAGTGTGAATAAATTATAGGCGCACATCCTTTTCCAAACAGTTGAAGAAGAATGAGCGACTAAAAACTATTCACAGTCGCTTATCCAACGAGAAATCGACATTCACAATACCATGGAAGAAGAGCGATAGTCGAATAATAGTCGTTTATCTACAACTAGTCGCCACTCGCAAAGAGGTGTTTGGTAGGATATATAAAATACACATTTAAAACTTTTAATAAGCCCTACCTGTATTTGTTATACTTTTTATAATGTTTCTTGCTTCTGTAAAATTTTAAATTTGTTCAGTTAGGACATTCGTGAATTAAGGTAACGATATATACTTTTTTCGAAACCAGTCAAAACGCTCAAATGGCTATTTTGCGAATTATTACGAAATTTTCTCAAAATATTCATGCTTTTCCGAAATATATACATACATATGTATGTATAACAAGTGGTCTCTGGGAAAAGCGGAATTGAAAGGAAAAATCTGTAAACTGGAAATTAATTAATATGTACTAGGGAGAGATTAAAATTTATATCAGAACTTTTATTGTATAAAAAATACTAGGCGTGCTTCAATTTTTCGTTGAAGTTCATATTAATGTGGCAACTCTGGATAATCCGTGCCTAATCGGGGATGGGTCGCGTCACTGATCATATCTTCCTGCGTGCTCGTTCATGTTTTCGAATGTGTGTGCTACACATGTGCCGCGCCGGAAAAATTATGCCCGCTGTCATTTCTAGATGACACCCAACGTTGAAGTTTGGAGAAATAAATTCGTTCTTAGCATAACCTGAAGTTGTATAAAAAACAGACCAATAAAAATAATAAAAAAACATCTCTTTGCGGGTTTTGGAAACTCAAAATGTGTTGTGTTGCTGAGGTGTGGACAGCGGGAAGAGTGCCCTCGGCCTATCTGGCTGCGCCCTTCTACATACATATATGTAGCAATTTTTTCTGAATTTGTATTGTTTATTTAGTGTCTTAGCTGCTTTACGTTTTTAAAACTATTTTTTTTAATGTAATTATTGATTTTGCTTTTTGTACCGAAAACTTTATTCTGAACTAACTTTGTAAATGTGATTTGCATATGTGTGTGTTATGAAATCGCATAACTGAATAAAGTTATATCACGTATCATAGTAATATGTACCCCAGAAATCAGAAAAGTACCAAATTTACTTAACAACAACATTTTTACGAATCTTTAAGTCTTCATACAAACATACCCACACAGTTAGACAAACACAACGTACATATACATATATTAATGTACATAGGTATGTATGTACATACATGCAAACGCACTTCAACTACTCGAAACGATTGACCGTAAATACGTACTTTAAGGCGATTTGACCAATTCAATCCACTGCTAAGTAAGAGGCGGTTAAATGCCTTAAGCCTCAAAATTGTTAATTAGACTTCTTGGATTAAAAAATTAAAAATGTTAATAAATATAAATACAGTCTACTATATTCGCATGCAGAAATTAAATCTTAACACATCAGCATAAAATAAAAGCGCAGCATAAGGCATTGTATAGGAACAAATCAAAATAAATTTAAAGCAATTATATTTTTATTTATACTACGTTTAAACAAAATATAGGAGTTTTGCTAGGTGAGGCTTCAATGCGAAGTTTAAAGTTTGTCGTAAAGTTGTTTGCAAAAAGCTTAAGAATTAGTGTGGATAAAGATGTCGCAATGCAGATTCAGTTAGAATTTTATACAGCAAACAATAAAAACGATAATATAAAGAATTAACATTATGAATATGAAAAAGAAAACTAAAAATAATTAAAGTACATACATATATATACATATTTATGTAGTCGTATTTGTAATTTGTAGTGTACGTATATATATATATATGAATATATATATTTTACTATAAAGTTTTACTTTACAATTAATATAACAAAAGCAGATGAAGCGCAATGCAGCGCCAGTGGGAATGATGTCAAGTAAAACCGAAAAGTTAGTGTAGTTCGAAACTTAAAGTAATAAATATTTCTAAGTGTAAGCATTTTTTAATGAATTAATTAACGGTTTAATTATTATAATAATAATAATAAAAATAATAATATATTATCATTAAGCGTGTAAAATATTGATTGCATTGATTGACTGGAACACTACAAAAACAAAAACAAAAAAAGAAGCAAATTAGAAGAAAACCATAAACTATACTGAAGGAACAGTAAAAGGGTTAGGTGTGTTCTCGAACACATGTATGTATTTCCAAACAGGGTTTCAGTTTCAAAACCCATTTTCTTTCTTCAAAACTGACTTTTGCTTCTTTAGCAATTTTTTTTTGTTCTAAGCAAGAGTTGTGATAGTTTTATGTGCAATTCAAGGCAGTGAGTCTGTCTGTTGGATCTATTAAATTTAAAATGTAAATTCTTAACGAGTTAGTGCAATTCGAATTGTGCAACAACTAAAGGCAACACAAAATTTTGTTCATAAAAGGGTATGTTAACGCCGAGATAAGCTGAAAACTTTTCCACTTTTACAAGCAGAGTTAAAATGTTGGTCAAAAATGTTGCTTTTAAAATAAATAATTGGAATTCAAATTTGTAC